TTCGGACTGCCCTGTAAGGGGGATACTTTTTCCCATGTTACATACTTGACAAATAAGTGTAAGCAGTACAAGTCCACTTCCCATTAGAACAGGTTTGTCTCTGGTGTAAAGACATGAGATAACAACATAATTACATCCATATATAACGATGGTAACAGAAAGCAAATACAAGGCATACAATATTAAAAAGAAAAACTGTTTTGTTTATTCGGCAATATTCACATTCGATTAATATTACTCCATTTTTTATTTTATAATATACACAATGCAAGGGATATGTACATATGCATTTTTATAATATTTAGAACACAAATACTACAAATATGTGCACTATTGTTACGTTCTTACTCTTTTAATTTCTTTTAAAATTTCATTTTGTGTTTTATAGTTAAAAAGATATACCTCGTCCACGAAGTATCTTTGAATATTCTTTTGTTTAATTATTCGTGCCTTATATATTGCAAAAGCAGCTACTGATATGATAAGATTAAATAGATCTGACTCATGCCAATCTTTTTCAAACCCAAGAATGTTATGTCTAAACTCTATGCGCAGGTGACGACTCCCCCGCTTTAATTTGGATTTTTATTTGTTTTTTATAATGTCATATCATTGCAATGGCATTGCACTTTGAAATTCACTGTATTGTGTAATCCATTCCTTTTTATTTGCAGGTTTATTTAATAGGGAATCCACTTGTATAAAGTCACCATCTTGAAATACTTCTTTAATATAAAAGAGTCCAGAACTGATCCACTCTTTATAAAATACTTTTTTATGTATTTATTACCCCACAGTATTTTTTTGCTAATCATTTCAAAGCTTTGTTAATTTTCCTCATTTAATTCATACCACCTATTCAATATTTCCCGACGAAATTCTAGTAGAGTTTGCGTTTTATAATTCAGACCCGCCCTGATTATAGCCCCCAGAAGTCATGGAAATAGCACTGAGCGATAGTAGCCCACGTTTCGTTTCTCCTTTTACTAAACCTATCTATCCAGGAGCAATGTAGTGCCTTTATCACTGCCTCGGCATCCACCATTGTAATCCCCCGTTTTCAAAATTGATTGCTATTTGCCTTTTTACTTTCCCACTTATTCCAACCACAAGAATTCATAACACAAATATCACGTGACTATCTTTGATGCAGTATATGTAATTAATGGCATTATAAAAAAACTTTTAGCACTGTAATTTTACCAAAGACTGACAAGAATTTTTTTTCCAACAATTCTAATTTTTTCTCTATTTTTTCTAATTTTGATTCCCAATTCATTTTTTTCTGTTTATTTCTTGTTTAATAGGGCTTTAATAGCTTTTTTAGCCGTGAATTAGTCCGTCCTGTTTTTCCACCCACTGAGATTTAAACCTTCTGTTTTTTTTTACTTTATTTACAATATTCATCAATTAAATTCAGTACTGCTAAATCTATACTATTACTCATGTATATTTTTGTGTCATCTGCAAACTGACTAATCTTAATAGCACGCACCTTCTTGCCAATTTTAATTTTTAAACCTTTAAAAAGTTTTTTTTTTATGATTTGTGAAAGGACCTCAACAGCAACTAAAAATAATAATGCTGAAAGTTGACAGCCTTGCCGAATTCCTCTTTTTATATCAAACTTTTTTACCAATTTACACAGGACTCTCTAAACCCAAATTCTTCTAAGACAGTCAACATAAAATTATGTTCCACAGAGTCAAATAAAATTATGTTCCTCAGAGTCAAAGGCTTTGTGGAAGTCTAGAAACAGAATAGCACCCTCTATCTTTTGTGTAAACCGGATTACGTCATTTATGAGACGCACATTTTGCCCAATATACCGACCTTTCATGTACCCAACCTGATCGCAATTAATTACTGTAAAACATGTTGAAAAAGCGACATGCAATTTTAGCGAATCGTGGTAAAATGACGCAATAGCGAAATGTTGATTTAGCGAATCTCTCTTGTCACTGTTGATTTCCTGTTTTCACAATACTTGTCTGTCGCGTGCCACAACAAATGCACAGTTATCACCTCCATAAAAACCATTTTGAATTTAAAGTCATTAGCGAATCAGTTCTCTCGCTAATTTCGTGTTTTACAGTATGGGTGGCAAAACTTTACTAAGCATGCAAATCTATTCTTGGCCCCTTTTTGTAAATTATTGTTATAGTTCAGAGTATTGTGAGTCCGCCAAACATTATGTACATTAAGGGGCGGTAGTCGTCGTGCCACGCATGCGCGAGATATATGGATCTCATAAAAACAAAAATGGCGACTGTTGCGCAGATCAAGGAGTATCAAGCTTTAATTGGGTGTTTTTCAGGTGATTGGAAGGTATCGAAGGATTCGCCAGCGGTAATTGGTGCAAGTCGTGATTTCCATTAGAAAAGCGTAATGGATTGTGGGATAATCAATAAATATCCACTGGAATGTCATTCAGTCCAGGGGTCTTGTTTATTTGTTTATTTTCATTTTCAACACTGTCCAACGACATGCTCCTAAGTAACGAGGCCTTCACACTCTTCTGCTTCATTAAAATTTAGTTTGCTTTTTATTTTAATCTTACTGAGATAATTTTGTATTTTGGTCTCTAGAAGTATTCAACTCCTGGTAAAATTTCACTTCCTTTCGCAATATTTCTTCTGGATTCGTTATTATTTTACCATTTTTCATTAACTTGCTTGCCTCTATATATTTTTTTTCTAATCCCCAAAAAACACACTTGATATCACCTCCCTGCTTATCTACCTTTGTTTCAGTTTCTCTTAATTTATTTTCTAAATTTTCCTGTTTTTCTCTTGCTAATGTTGTTCTATTTTTTGCATATTTAATTGTAACTTCTCGAATTTTTATCTCAGCAATGTCCAACAATTTTCGTTTGTCAGACATTTTTTTTTAATTTTAATGATATGGCATTATGATCAGCTTTAATTGCTGGGCTAATGTCTGTGGATTGGATGACTGACAATAAATGTGACGATATCAACCAATAGTCTAATCTGCTCACAATTCCCAGTGTTACTTGTTTCCATGTCAACTGTGTTTTTGTCAGGTCCAATTCCCGCCATATATATTATGCAACTTGAAGGTATTGATCAAAGTGAAAGGTTTTTTTTTTGTTTTGACAATCTTAGAGCTAGTGCCTCGCTTATCTAAACTAGGGTCTATTACACAATTAAAATCACCCCCTATAAATAGATTACCGCTTTCATTTGCATTTTTTCTGAATCCAACTTTTTAGCGTTACAACAAAGTTTCTCGTTCTTTAAAGTATTTAGGTGCATACACATTAACAAATGTTAATATATCTCCCCATATTCCACATTTATAAGTAACTTTCTACCATCATTGCTATGTTTTAGGTTTATAATTTTCCCGTCTAATTTGTCCTTAATTAATATTGACACCCCTCTACTATGTCTTGTGCCAAACAATTGAAATATTTCCCCTTCCATTCCCTATTAATAATATCAACTATTTTCTCAATCCAATACGTTTCTTGGAGGCATATTACTATTGCTTTCTGGTCATTGCACCATCGCAATATTTGACTTCTTGTATCTTTACCTCTTAGACCTCTACAATTCAGAGACAAAAGATGTAAGTTCTGTGATATAATTTACGTTTCTACGCTTTCTACTTCTCTTTCTTTTTCTACCTCTTCTTGTTTTACTGGCCATCCGTGCTCTGCTGTTTTTCTCAATGACGTCACCACTGTCATTATTTGATGCAACACTTTCATTATCTGTTGATGTACTTACGTGTTTTCGCTTCATATCTATAGTTGGTACTGTGTCTGTGTTATCTGTGCGTGTAGATGCTAGAGTCTGTAATCTTGGTTTGACTACGTTAGCATTGTTTGCTGTACATGTAATATGATGTTCTGCATATGTATCAGTATATATTCTTGATTCACGTTCTATTTCATTAATTGTAGTATTATCATTCTGTGTTTTTTCACTTTCCAGTCACTCTTTCATTTCACGCAAAATGAATCGTTGTTTGTTTTTTGTCTTTCTCAATATAATAATATCGCCTGAAATTCACTCATTTCAACTTGTCAGTGAGAGGGTGTAACTTGCTGTAGTGTATCCACATATACAATACGGTCACCATTATCAATGTTGGTCAGCTTGCAATCAATCAGCCATTTGGCGCGCATGATCGTTCGTACCTTCATTCGAAGCTCTTCGAATTTCTGGTGTATAACACCGTCCCCAACTGACAAAGGGAGGTTTCGTACGACAGTTCGATCACTGAATTCTCTCTGGGCTGAAATATATGGGGTTTCGTCATATAGCACTGCTTTCTTACCATGTAGATTCAGCCCTTCTGTTAATAAGATCAGTGGATCTGCACTATCATTCACATATGGTCTCCATAATCCTCGTATTCGTTGTATTCCAGATATACCTTCTAGTTGAATTACTTCAGCCATGGCTTTACATAACTCTGAACAATAAAGTAAATGTGCATCATTATTTAGAACATCGAAATGTTTCAGAAACACCGCTTTTACATTGCCAGTGTCCGTATATTTATTTCCGCTTAACATCCCAGTAATAGTTTTAATTATGCAACCATTGCTTGACGACATTGCTATGCTAATGTATCAATCTTTTGAAAAGTTTGAATACTCGATCTCGTTCCCTCATACTTTTCAAAGTTCCGTTTTTCTTGTTTCCACACCTTTTATTCTTTCAGTATCTCACATCAGCGTCTTGTCTGGTTTATCAACTATGTTTCGTAATACTTGTATTTTCTCTATCACAGCAGATATCTCTCTGATCACTGTAAAAAAGATTGTAACAAAGCAACTACACTGTTCCTTGGTACAGCCTCGCTTTCGATCTACAAAATATAATTATAAATAATAATACTCCTGGAAAATAAAACTTCGCAGTATCCATTTTTGATGCACCTGCTATTCGCTGTTATATTGTGTTTTATGCAGCTCAAATATTCAAAATAAGCCTGGCAAGTCATTGGCATTATTGGCAGTGGAAATGCCTAATGTTGTCATGGATGACTTGTGGTTAACTAGAATTATATCCTTGCTGAATTTAGAGTGTTTGTAGGAAGAATTACTAGATGCACTCAAATCATCGACTAAACATTTATAGTAATATATCTCAAAAACAAACACAAAATTATCGGCAGCTTTGTCAGCAGGCACATAAAATAAAACAATTTATAAACGTTTGTGGTTTAATTATTATGACTCTGTTTTATGTTTCAGGGCGCTGGCGCTGACTCTGTTGTTTTCGCAGTATATGCGTAATATTAGAGTCCCATATGCATCATGGACTAGACAAAAAGGATGCCATAAAGAAATGGGTCATGTCTTTTCACTTTGTCCGGTGAGTGAAACCTTCTGAGTTCATTCAATTAGCCGCGACGAAACGCCTTTGTGGCGTCGAAATAGACAATTCTGTTTGGTTGTGTATTTCAGCCAAATCTATTTAGTATTGACTTACATCCAGGTTGACTCAAGGTCGGTATTGTATATATTAATTATGTTTGATTCCATGTATGCTGGGTGAAGCATGTAATAGTGAATATTTCACCAATAAAATACACATGCTTTTGTACAGGTGATACTTTCAGTTTGTATAACGTGGTTCCTGTGCTTTACTATTACGGATGTGTTTACAACTGACTCAAGTGATCCTAGTTATCTAGTCCGAACTGACAGAAGTGATGACTTGATAAATACGTTGCCATGGATATGGTTTCCGATACCATGTGAGTTACACTACATATCAATTCTAATTCATTATGCCAACATTTTTTAAAATACTTCTGTCTAAGGTTAAAGTAATAACAATTATACCACAGTTATTGTTGACTCACATAAACTGTTTTTAAGTACTGGCAGTTCGGTACATATCACAGAAAGTACATTCAATGCATGATACTTTGCATTTAATTAATCAAAACATTGTTTGTATGTATCAGTCTTTGAAAGTTAATGGAAACCATGGAGACTCAATTGAATGCAAAATCTGTTCTCATTTGTTTAGTTAGATGGGGGTTACCAACAGTAAGTGTCGCTTCATTTGTTGGCATGATGTCTGCAGTATTTGCTTCTACATTTGAATCTCTCGGTGATTATTATGCCTGCGCACATCTAAGTGGGGCGCCACCACCACCAGGTCATGCTGTCACTAGAGGAATTGGAGTAGAAGGCATTGGCGTCATTATCGCCGGAATGTGGGGAAGCCTGGGAGTGACGTCATATTCCTCGAGTAATGGAGCAATCTCAGTTACAAGAGTTAGTGTTTCTTCATCCATATTACTATTATTATACTTATATTAATATTTAAGATAATAGTATGTAAAATTAATTAAAGTCAAGAAATTCAGAAAAAATATTACTTTTATGAATAATATTGGTAATAGCAAATTGATGATAACAATACATGTAATTGATTGGTGATACCTTACTGGGTAATTGAAAGGCGTTAATACGAATTAAAATGTGAATGTTAGTTGAAGTGACGATAGCTGTCTCAAAAACGTCTTTTTACTAACAAAAAAATATTGGTTGAAACCTGTTAATTATAAACGGAAATATAGCAAAAATATAGCAAACGGAATCTCAGACGGAGCAATAGCTGAAAACAAACATACCACTGTCGTAAACCATTATCATTCTACCTTTCTACTTGAAAAGATTGGTGGTGATCACGTGATCATACGACAAAAATGCGATGGTCACTTGGTTTCGCGCCATCTCAATACCTGACAACGAAGGTAATCTCCTACATGGCGTACGTATGAATTATTTACAAAACAAAACACGCACACATGCCAGGCAAATTCATCGCTTTTTTAAACTAATAATGATTTAAATTTGTCAATGTTCGATAACGTCTTGGTCTTTCAACGTAGGCCTACCATGTTTCTAAAGTTTGTAAAACTGTACGCTTTTGTTTATTCATGCACATTGCTTTTATCCATTCTTGCTTTATCACGAAAATGAAACGCGCCTCATTCGAAAATTATACTAGCGCATCTTTCGTTGCGGGAGTATGTCGGAGATGGGTTCGTGGTGGGGGTTTATTTTGAGAGAACTCTTCATACTTCTTACCATTATTTTTATCTATATTTATTACATTATGTTGTCAGCCAGCATAGCTGTCGTTTTGTTTGATGTTTGGTTGTTTTTACCTGTATTTGTTTGTTGTGTATGTTTGTGGATAATAAATGCACACTCCTCTGGGACTGTGACTATTGTTTATATAGTTTATTTGAGTTGTCTCTAGCATCTGTGTATAAACACTATTTGTGCATAGTAAATGAACCATGGTCTGTAACCAGAATCCAAATAAGTGTGAGAATGTACGTTTAGACGTCTTTATATATTTTATAACCCACTTACAAATATAAATCACAAAATGTGCAATCAATCAAACATGAGTTTGAGCACCATCCCTCAACACCCGGTTAAGAAACGACTTGACATATATTCAAACCCGAAGGTCGCCTTGGGCTAAGCGTTCGCGCACACTTCGTTAACCCGTACTGAGGGCCTGGTCTTAAAATCGGATCAGATTTTACCCATACTTAGCATTTCTTAGCACATGCTAAGTCGCGGCGTTCACGCACGTTTTCTTAGCACGGGCTAAGAAATTTGACCTCTTAGCCCGTGCAAAGAAGCTGTGCGTGAACGCAACTATTGTCGATATGCGCGTTTCGGTGTTTATCTTTTTAATCCCCCGGTATCAAGTTACCGGTGATATCGCAGTTGCGTCTGATATAAATTAGCATATGGTATGACGTAATTTCACTCACAACTCTTTGCGTGAACAAGATGCACAGAACCTTCTTTGTTTTTGTTTTGATTACGAATAGATGTACTCTTTAGATCCTGAATCGTGAATAACGTCTAATGAGGATTATGTTGATTTGGTGATAGAGAACAACCTGATAACAGTTCAGAAGTGTTGAGGGATGATGATTTCAGACAGTTTTCACCCTTTTAAATATAACAACGAAAAGTTGTATTTTCAAATGTCAAACCAATTGAGAAATTGAAGCATATTTAGCAGGTTTATCGTGAGATCGTTTCAACTGAATTGACATATACATATAATTTCTGTCAATGAAATTTATTATCGCTTGTTTTTAAATTATACAGGTTGGAAATCGTCGTGTAATACAATGGATGAGTCTGATTCTTTTCTTAATGGCTATTGTTGGTAAACTTGCAGCCATTATTGCATCGATACCAATTCCGATGATTGGGGGATTACTGTGGATCACCTCTGGTATGATAAATCAACTTTATTTTTCAAATTATTATATAAAATCATTTACAAACGTATTTTACCCCATGTCAATATTTGTATTTGTAGCAAATTGACAGGTTGGTACTAATGTATGCAACATTCCACAAAGTAACTCCGGCGGAGGTATCTTATCAATCGGGCCTCATGTTCAATTTATTAGTCAGTTTTCATAAATTCATGTATATTCTATATACTATGGTAAATGAAATGATGCATACTTATGGAAGCTTGCTTAATTCTCAGGGGGGTCACAATTTAACTTTAAGACAGATAGCTACTCTTGCATTTTGACATTTTTGCTTCTAATATAATTTCACATTGTTTATACTTTGCGATGAGATGATAATCAGTATTATTGAATTATATATAAATATATATATTACTACAAATACCACAGACGGTAACAAAATGAGACAGTGAAAAGGGGTAAATAATAATGGTAACAAAGTGGACATTTATATGGTAATTTGGTATCTTACTTTCCACTAGGTACAATTATAGCCATAGGCGTTGCTAGCCTACAACATTGTAATATGAATTCTTCAAGAACTTTGGCAATAATTGGAACAGCTATTATGACTGCTTTGATTGTACCTCAGTATCTAACCCAGAATCCGGAGGTCATTGATACAGGTACATTGCCACTTTATTAGTATGCTATGATTTCATACACTATTCAGTTTTGAGGGATATGCAAATAGAACATATGAACCGTGATAATTAAAAATATTGTGTACAGTCGTCACACATATCATATGTGTTTTCCCGAGTCTCAGAGTTTCGTAGATTCAACGATAGAGGTGTCAAACACTGAATACAAATATTGTACTACAAGAATATTACTGAGCATATGTGTAGGAGAATTTTTTATTGAATGAATTTGATATGATATTATGAATATAATATTGTGGCACTATTCGCTGAACTAAATGTATGTTTTTCACGACAATAACAATATATATGTATTCTTTTCTAATTTAATACTAAGCACATAGTAATATTGTTTCACAGTTAAATCGATGATCCTATATCATTAATATCAGGTTCTGCTGCAACACCAGAATTCAAGTATTCTTTTCATTATATGTAAAATGTAAATAATTCTACGTTTCAGGAAATACCAACGCCAATCAGATCATAAATGTAATATTACGTAATGGAATGATTATAGGTGGTTTAGTTGGCTTTATACTGGATAACACAATACCAGGTAATATATTCTACATGCGATGTGGTGCGATGAGGTGAGGTGAGGCGCAGTGTAGTGTAGTGTAGTGTAGTGTAGTGTAGTGTAGTGTAGTGTAGTGTAGTGTAGTGTAGTGTAGTGTAGTGTAGTGTAGTTTAGTGTAGTGTAGTTTAGTGTAGTGTAGTTTATGTAGTGTAGTGTAGTGTAGTGTAGTGTAGTGTAGTGTAGTGTGGTTTAGTTTAGTTGTCATGCACCAAACTTTAGTACTCGCACTTTATGCCTTTGCCTGCTGTTTTTGTATTTTTGGAATTTTAATTACAACTCTAATCTATTTAAAAAACAATGACGTGGATTTGCATTTCACATTGTTGTTTCACGTGTGTGGTTATATAATAAGTTTTCACATTTTTTCTTCTTTATTATCAGGTACGCAAGAAGAAAGAGGTTTGATAGTATATCGTAAACTTGATGCAGAAACAATTAAGAAACTTGGTTTACGTGGATCGATGACTTCATACGACTTGCCATTCGGTATGTCCTATATCAAAAAATGGAAATGGACCCGTTACATACCTTTTTGTCCGACGTTCCTGACGAAAGACTTCTAATTTATACAAACCAAAGGCTATAGAGAATCTTCTCTATAGTCTTTGTACAAACTAACCCTGTTGTAGAACGATGCAGTGGATCGATAATCATATTACTCAGTAGATGACATTAACAAAATGTATATTGCCCAAAGTTAACCTGTCCGCCCTTGTCTGTCGCGTCGTGTCGATTGCTGGTTCAACCCTAGTTGTCCGCTCACTCAACAAGAACAAAAAATTGAACATAAAATAGTTCAAGCAGGTCCTTAGTGCACGTAAAAACCCTTAAAGGGCGGTAGTCGTCATGCCGCGTCCTGTTCGATATGGGACTCATAGCGACGTATACAGCGCGTGTAAAATACATTGTTTTTTTACATGAAATTCGAACACGCGCTGCGCGACGACCACCGCGCTTTAAGTTGCCGTACGACGACTAGAACCCCGGGCGTCACTCTATATTGAAACCTTACACCATGTGCATTTTTGCTGAAAAAAACAAAAACAGGCCCCCTACAGCTGGTAGCACATTGGCAAACCATACCCGCCATTGCGGACGCAATGTAAATTTAGTACCCTCTAGAGCAGACATATTGAGGGAAAAAATCCCGGTGAGAAAGTTCGGGCGGGCGTTTGAGGCTTTGTCGGGGCTATAAACGAGCAATAAATCAGAGCAATAAACGCTTTGGCCAACAGGCGAAAGATAGTGTTTTTTATTAATGACAATGTCAAGACAATGCCAACCTAATGCAAAGACAATATAAATTAATAATGTGTGTTTTAGGTTACTTTTCTGGGTAAAACACTAGTCACACTCTTTACACTGGTATGGCTGCTCACCAGTATGTTATTTCCAAAATCAGCTGGTATACACGTGGTCATAATAAAATAATTGCGATATTTACTATATGGGGGTATAGGGTATAATAGTGAAGAGACAAGTTGTGAAACGCGTTTTTCAGATTCCTACAAATCAGGGAGAAAATACCAATCTCTCACAGTCAAACGATCCGTTGAGGCTATAACAAACAAATTCGACTGAATTCCACGATTTTGTGTGAATAAATCCCTTGTATACGAACACCCAATTACACGATGAACATAAAACCCTTTTTAGGGGTGTTTGAAACCGAAATTGTCATTCCAGCTCTGAAGCCAATCAGCAATGGCCTTACAGTTAGATGACAATTTCGGTTTCAGATACCCCGGGGAAAGTGTTCTATGTTCAAGAGATTTTTCCACACAAAAACGACGAATTCGACCGAATTTTGTTAGCGGTTAGCTTAATATAACCCAAACGGATCAAACTGTGACCTGATGCGAATATTGATACTGAATTGTTGACACTGTATGCATGTGTTTTGTTCTTCATTCGCACCTGTGTTGTTTTATTATTTAATAGTTATTCCTTCATTCATTATTGATAACACTGGCTTTGTTAAGGAAAAATTAGTTGATTTTTTTATTCATTGAGGGACTTATTTAAGCATTTGAACTCAAAATCTAGCTAGCTAAGATTAAGTTTTATTTGTTTGATATATTTTCTGGGTTATCCTACATCAATTATTGTTTATTTTACTGATTCAGAAGTGGATTATATTAAAGATTGTTGACTCGAAGTTTATGTGTGCGCCGCCTGGTTTTGTTGCTCCTACTTCTAGTCTTGGTAACTATATCTACAAACCACATATTGTGCCATTGTACCGAGCGTCAAAATGTATATTTACCTTACACATTTGTCCCACTGTATCAACGATCTGTGAGGCTCTGTTAATGGTATGTTACAGGTGTCCATCGATATTATTTCATACAATATTTTAAATGAAGCCTTCACAACTTGTGCCGTGTCAGCGTTTCGTTGTTAGAATGCGTAACTTTTAATATTTAGGATTTGTTTATTGTCACAAAATCGTATTTAATAGCTTATTAAGTTGTGCTTCAGAAAAAGCTGGCACATTCATAACCCGAAATTAGGTCACAGTGACCTTCATAAGCCTTATTACCGTACGTATAATCTGATTTTCAGGTCAGGTCGTTATCGGTTAGTTCTGATAAAGAATTTGCCCTTTTCCCATCCAATGAGTGGCTGCACTAAGGCAATCATGTCTTGTTATTTCGCAGTATTCGTAAATTCTACGAAATGTGAGTCACGTGTTGATCTCACCATACTTTTTACCCAGTGTACCGAGTCGAGTGGGCGTATTAAAACGTGGTTTACGTTCAGCGTTTTTTCAGTTAGGTAGAGGTTCGAAGCAACGTGCATATTCAAGCACTGGTGTACTGACCAACTGGAACAACCAAGGATATATGTAAGTAATGCCATGTGGTCACTCGGAATAGGCAAATAACAATCATACCAATGTCGTTTCGTCCAAACCTCGTTGTCTCGTCTTGTTCGAAACAGTATTGGGATGAAACAGTGTTGAATCTAATTACCAATCCACCTCATGATTCCACGAAATTTGAATGAAACGACATAGGGAGAAATAATACTCAGTGAAACCCGGGGCGAAACTACAGGAAACGAAAGTGATGTTAGTTGGACGCGCTACCTTTCGACCAATCTTTATATCCGGGGCAATGGTTCATACGTTATTTTTCCGTACTTTTTACAGTGTGACTGTATAAATTATAACATTTTCAATTTCTAACTTTCAAGTTTAAATTAATACATGTGGTTTATGCAAATGAGAAATTTGCTGATAAATTTCCTATAGTAATGATGCTTTTTTTTTCTCAAATGAAGGCACGTGACTCGCTAATCTGACACAATTATCAGTACCTCCAATACAGTGCGTCTGCTCGATTCGGCAGTAACCACATGACTTTTGAACTTCCGGGGTAGACATGTTTTGTGTTCCACAGTACAAATTACACATAGTGCACATTCTTCTACGCGGAATGACAAAAAAGAATGCAATGAGCCGTCAGTTCAGTCATGTCAGCCATTCTGTGTGTTCGAATAAAATGATACAAATGCAGTTTTCAATGTATTTTTGATGTTAAATTTGTCATCTCTATTCGAACACATCAACTAATCAAAATTTATATTGATTGACCAATATATTCAACCCAAAAATATACAAGTAGTGTTAGAAATACAATTCTTACTGTCCTTGTTCGGCCAAGAATTCTAAATTGGAACTATTTAGTCATATAAAGGGGGACGGAATATTTGTTATTCAACATCCTGTTTTATATCGTGCACGTGTCAGTTAAGATATAGGAGTTCAGATCATGTCCATTTATTTTACGACTTTTATAACTATGGTGACCCTATGCTTGTTTCGCATTTTAGCGGCTAAACCGAGTGGAACTGTTAGTTATAATAAGATTAACATTTTGCACTCACCCAAATATTTCAACATATTTTTAAAAATTTCTAACAAGTTGATATATGATAAAACGCGCCCAGTAGAACGTCAATCAGTTCTTCGATTGTATTCTGCAAATGTCTACTATTACGTTAAATTTACGGCGGCGCTACAACTGCATAAATGTTACGTGTGAAACCCTTTCCCTATACTCTTCACAGTGTCATCGTTTTATGCATCGTTTATCCAGCCCCATACCGTAAAAACAAAATATGCAATATTTAAATCCTGCCATCATGACGCACATTATTGCTTGAAAATGTACAAAATAAATAATTTACATACCAACACAAAAATGATATTATTTACCCTAGCAACGAGTAAATAAATTGCATGCAGAACAAAAATACCACAGCAATTCACTTGAACATGAAATAGTTCAGGTAGCAATTTGTTACAGATTTAACAGACAGGACTAACACAGATAGAAAATATTTTTTGTCTAAGTTGTGATATAGAAATAAAACAGGTACATGTTGTATACTGGTTTGTTGGGCCCAGTAATCACACCAATTAAATTAGATACTTTAATAAAAAAAATACATAGAATAAATATAGTTATAGATGGCATATAGCATTCTGTATAAAGCACTACTGATAATATAATATTTAACAACTAAACCAGGTACAATCCTTCCGGGCGGTACAAACGGTAGGATACAAAAGATGTTTTGTATAAACAAACGCCCTCGTGGGGTGACCGTCTGTGCAAATGTCTTTCTCGTTTTCAAGAGAATTTACAAAAACAATTGTAACTTTTGTCTCGAATCAGTCAAGTACCGATCTTGAAATTTCCAATTAGATTCACAATCACAACATGCATTTTGAGACGCATTAAAAAATATGTAAAGACGGCTCATTATTTAAACCATCTTGAATTTTCAAGGTGAATGTTCCGGCGAATCACACCAGATGGAGGAATGTCCAAACGGAACAACACCGTGCAGGCGGACGATGGTTTAAACCCACGGCTGGATACAAGACCGCCCGTCATGACCATGATTTCCTCTGAATAATTTTGATTTTTTTGTGAATATTGCCCGAGAGTATTGCCTTTATATTACACCGTATACCATCTCCCTCATTATTCCGTGATTATTCGAGTTTATTACAAAAGGTACTCACAGAAAAAAACTAACCTTTGATAACTGGCAAACACAGCAGCCGACACAACGCGACAATTCTGAAAATGGCTGTTGCAATAGATGTGAGCATGCGCGTTAATGAGGAATGACGTCATCCATCAAGATACGAGACATCGGGCGCGAACAAAATTTTCACAATTTTCGCAACCAGTGAGCGCACCCGGGCGACGCATTTAAATAATAGATGACTAAATAAATAATGACTACCCACTTCTAAACAAAAAACGTGAAATGACACCCAAGTCGGGCGGCACATACCCGTATTGCACTTCTATGGAAGTAGCCCCCGGGCGAAGAAAGCCTTTCATACAGGTAAACTATTTGGTTTAAACACAGTCACAGTGTTGAGGGACTGTGGTTTTAACTACGGTGGACCATGACTACGAATTCGGCAATATTATACAATTGTTGGGGATAATATATGGTTGTTGTGAATGTTGTACGGTTGGTTCCACCATGTTATACGATGTTATACCATGTTATAATTAAAAATAGAGATAATGCTATGCATAGTGTATTCTGGAAACAAATTTAAAATTCGACAATTGCTTCTCCGTCGTAATATAAGTATTGATATTAGCACATGAAATACTGAGAAAATTGAAGTCAGATGGAAAAAGGGATATTTTAAAAGA